AAAACCCTGAATTAAGAGAAAAACCCTAGATGCTAGTAAGAACCCTGGTATGAAGGCAGCTATACTCCTTAATTGAAAAAAGCGGGTTTTGGAATCTCTGGGCTTCCATGCAGCAGCCTCAACGGGCTTTGAGGCTCAAGTGCCGAAGCAAAATGCCCAAAAAAAATCTGAATGAAGATAGGGGCCTGAATACCTACCTCTACAATGTTATTTTGAGGGGGGGGTCCTCATTATAAGTTTACTATACTGTAGCCCAAAACCCTGTTCCAATTATTCAGGCCCCCCTAGCAGAAGCATCCACCCGCTTGTCAGATGTCAGGCTCCGATGTAGTTTTCCTGTGCGCCAAAGACTTTGTATCACTAGCCCTGTATTATGGTCTTATAGCCCCCGCAGAATCATCCAGCTACCCATAGGCCCCAAAGTAGTTCCTTTTTGGGATTACCTAATAGGGTTCTACATATGAACCCCCAAAAGGAACTACTTTAGGGCCTCAGGGTATAGTGTACCCCGAAGCCCCGGTTCTGAGAGCGGATGATGTGGAAAGACGAGAGGCGCAGATGAAAATTCGCCTCCAAACGCTTCTCGCGGCCGCGGTCTGCCAAAGGTCGTGGAGGAGGTCGGCCGAGCGAGGTTTAGGCTTTCAGAGATTAACGAAATATAATACCATAATATATTGTATTAGGAATGGTAATCTAAACTTCTTACGTAATAAATATCAGAGATTCAGGTTCTGGAGTTTGAGGTTTTAGGACGCTTCAGGGCTGATGCTGTAGGCCTTCAGGCTGTGGGGTTGGAGAGCCTTTCAAATTCAGCCAGTGCAGTCAGATGATATTCCTAGGGTCCGAATCGTCGATGGTTGAACAAGCACTTAAAGCCCCATTCTTCTGATCTCCGCCGCTAGAAAAAAGCCTGGTTGCACAGTTTGGCTTCTTGCAAAGATCGCAGACCCGGCAACCTGCACCCCTGAAACCTAATCAAAACAAAACTCTGACACCCTAAACCCTTGATCAAAAGCAGGAACAAGCAGAGACGCCCCCGCCAGATGTGTCTTCTCTAAGGTTGACACCGGCAACCCAAATTTTGCTTTCATGGGGGTCCCTGTAGTGTTTTCAGTAGGCTTCATTGGGAGTGTATATAGGCCAATGCAGGTTCAGGGGCCCCCGTACCCTTTAGGTCCTGAACAGACCTGAAGACATCATAATAAGGATCGCTTTGCAGCTTGGGATGTTCCCGAACTCGTGGGGATTGAGTTTTTTTGGGCTTGACAGGAACCTTCGTATCAGCGATAAAGAATAACACACTTCAGTATGATGCTCGTAGCGATACTGAGAGTAGCAGGGAGAGGCATGTGCGTATGTTGTGCAGGGTGGCTTCCTCGAACCATGGGTGCCCAAAATGAGCCCAAAATGCACTCCAAGAACATCGCTAATCACCGAGATTTCGCAGCCCTTGACCCTACACTAAACCCTTAGGCCCCTTAGGCTCTAAACCTGCAACCCCAAAACCCTAAACCTTAAGCTAAACCCCTCGCGTGCCCCTAAACCCCAAAACCCTAAACCCGAGACCGCTGAGCCCTAAACCCTAAACTCCTAAACCCTAAGCCCCCATACCCTAAACCGCTAAACTCCAATCCCGGAGCCTGAAGAGCCGACTTCCTTCGCCGCCGCCGCAGTCGGATATGATCTTCGGGTCCCGTCGTTGCAGATCAGAAAAGAGCCCTTTAAAACCTAAACCCCAAGGCTGGAATCTAAAAGCCAGGGTTTAGGCTTTAGGGGATTTAAACCAATATCTTAAGCTGCAAACCTTGATCCTTGAACAACAATCCTCAGCAGCCTCCCACACCAAACAACCGCACAAACAAGATACGAAGAGTTCTTTGTCACAATTGGGTAACATTTTACATTTGTATGGGTACTTGAACTCAATAAGGAGTAGAAACTGAAATTTTAATCCTATGCCAACCATGAACTAGGGTTGAGGGCTTTTGTGCGGTGCCGGGTCGTCTAGGAAGTGCCCAGGAGAACGTGGACAGCATGGATTGAGCACCCTGCAGAACGTCAGGGTTTCAAACGAGGGAGGGAGTTTCAACTTTGAGGGTTAAGGAGTTTAGGGTGTGCATAGACGTTTTGCGATTTGAGGTTTAGGGCTTAGAGGTTTGGGGGCAGCAGTCCTTTGCTTGGAATTTGGACAATGATGTGGGGATTATTGTATCAGAAAGCGGGATGGTGCAGCATGCTCGAAACCCTCGTTAAGCCCCAAGCCCTTAAACCCGGAAGCCATCCTAAAGACCCGAAACCTTGACTTTAAGAACCCAAAAAGCACACAAGCATAAGCATGTTATAGGGATATCCCTGCCTTATTGGGCTTCATTATAAGGGGGTTTATATGGGATATCCCTATCTTGATTTTTGCTTATGTGCTTTTGTGGGTCCCTATGACTAGGCCCTAAACCCCAAAGCCAAGCACACATTCTGTAGCGCCGGAAGTCCATTAACAACCTGGGACCTTCCAACCCGATGCCCGAAAATCAACCCCTGTTTGCCATACAGGGACCCTTAGACGATCCGTCAGGGATCTACGGTGAGACCTTGTAGACTTCAGAGAACCCTGTTGAATAATCACCCGTTGATACTGAACCCGATTCCAGCTGTGGGAGTTCAAGAATTTGATTGGGGGGTCGAGGGAGTGCAGTCTTCGAGTCTTACCGGTTTTGGTGATTTTCAGTGAATGAGGCCGTAAGGTTTACAGTGTAGGGTTTACGGTTGGGGCGTCTTCCTCTCTTAGATGTAGATCGGTCTCCTACTCAGAGAGCCCAATAAGTCCAGTACAAGCATTGTGTCACCATGAGCAGCATGAGAACCCGACATTAAGTAACGGTATTGGGACCTCTGGGTAGTTCTGAGAGTTTCCCTTTGAATTCGGAAACGCTCGAGCCAGCTCGCAAGCCTCCGTCCGCAGTAATTATCCGCACCCCACACCCCAAGCACCTTGCATGGTGAACCCGGTTTAGGGTTTAGGGTTTCCTAAACCCTAAACCCTCAATCCGCAAGAACCCAAGCCTAAACTCCACACCCGATAACACGCGAACGTCGCCCTCAGCCGGAAACACAATATTCGACAGTCGATGAGCCCTCGAATCGAGCCCTAAATTCTCAAACATGAGACATCAATGCAAGGAGGGAAGTCGTAGGACGGCTATTGCTGGTAGGTGGAGTTCTGAGACTTAGGTGTCGTGAGACCGGGTTTTGATTTACAAAGCCCGTTTTGTACTGGCAAGACAGCGTAACCTTGTGTTAGTTTCTATTGCCGAATGTCTCCTTCTCCTCTAAGCTGATCACGTGGGCTTTAGTTTTCAGTTTCGAGGTTGGCAATCATCCGGTGTGCTTTTCGGAAACTCGCACTTGTCACGGGTACGAAACCATCAACCCCAAACCATTTTGGTGAATTTGCAGCGGCATGCCGAGCTCGCAAATGCATGAACGCATGCATGAACAAAGTTAGCGTTCTTTGCCTGGGATCCGGGGACTTGGGGCTTCGCGTTCCTACTGTTGCTGCACTACCTTAAGGACCCTAAGCTACGGGAATTATGGTAGATTTCTTATGATTGGTAATGCAGGATTTGTATCATCAACCGTAGTACAGGGGCCTGAACAGTCACGACACGGTGTTTCCCGCACATCCTGGCATAGTTCGATATATAGGAGTTTGAGAAAATGGGTCCCTAATGTAGTACCCTAAATAGTAGGGTCCTTATTATAAGGACCCCAAAGGAAGGTATCCTTAATTTTCGCGAACTCCCAGATTTTGGGAGACGATAAGGAATAAGGTGATGTTGCTCCCTACATTTGGGGCCTTAATCTTTAGAATAGGGTTTTGGGGCGGTTTATACTAAAATCGTAAGAAGGACCCCCCCCAAAACATATATATATATATATATGTGTGTATGTATATATATATATATATATATATAGATAGATACATAGTAACACTAATTATTAAGGCCCCTATCATAGTCAACTCCTCGGCCCGTCTATAAGACTGTGGGAAGCCTAAATCCTGAAACAGACCCTAGTCCTGGCAGTGTCCTAAGGGTTTAGGGCTTGAGGGTTTAGGGATTTAGGGTTTAGGGTGAACCTTGGCGACATTTCTTGGTTTTCCAAGGGAAACCCGGCAAGCCTAGCCTCTCAGCCTGCAAAACCGAGCGTCAATCTTGCAAATCTGTTTCCCAACTTGACAGACAAAATTATGCAAGGCACTAGACCGCACTCGTAAGATGGTAAGGATCAGGAACATGAGAATGATGATGGCGTTGGTTTTGGTAGTTGTGGCGGGGTGCCAATAACCACCAATACTATTTTGAGGGCACCTTATGAGAGTATAACGGGCGCTAAGACCCTACTCTAATGATTAAGGCCCTATTTAACAGTACCCTTATAGATCCCTTATAGTAGCCCTTGTAGACCCCTTTAAAGGGACCCTAGTCCAATCAAGGCCGGTCGTTTCCTGGGATCGGCCTTAGTGCGAGCCCTTAGCCCTGCATGAACGTGAAGAGACATTCCACCCAGAGACTCCAAAACCCCTACACCCTCAGGGTATAGAGGGTTTAGGGGTTTGGGGTTAAGGATTTAGGGTTTAGGATTTACGGTTTAGGGTATCCCGTAATTAAAGAATATGCCTTAAATCAAATTCGGGATCGTCAATTACGGGATGTTGGAAGGTCTCGGCAGTTGCTTGGTGTCAGGGGTGGAGTTGTACGGAGAATATCTCTGTTTGCGAAACTGGAAACCCGACCTCAAGCAATTGGCTAAGTCCCATGAGCATGGCAATCATCGACCAGCTCGACTCATGTCTTTGTTCTCAGTTCCCAATGCTCAGGGCAGGGTGCCTGCGGTTTTGAGATAGATCGTCCAGGGCGTAGGGTAAACAAGCCAAAACTCTAACGATCCCGACACTGAGACCCTGACCAGCAAACCGTAAACCCTAAACCCAATTGCCGCAGGCTACTTCGTGGCAACTGTGATCCGTATCCTTCTTGTGGGGGACCTCGGCATGTGCTGACAGGGCATGGTGTCTCACGAGCCCGACTGCCAAGCTCTTTCTGTGATCGCTAAGTCACTACGGAGCCTGGTTACTTTGCTACACTCCTTTATGGTTCGTAAAGCTTTTCTGTCGTGCGCCTGAACTTGTCATTGCCCTTAGCAGCTATCCATCAGGACAGGAGGAATAGACTTGGGGTTTAAAGCTTTGGCGTATTGGGGTTAGGGTTTTAGGGCTTAGTTTGAGGTTACTCGTATGTTGCTTCACACTGCGCGGCTTCTGGAAGCGAGTTTGGGAACGGCCCCTTCCCGATTTGCAGTCGCAACTGGACGCAGTTTAGGGTTTGGGTTTAGGGTTTAAGGGCATGTCTCGCTTTCTTGGGCGATCCTGCTGGTTCCTCGGACTGGTCCAGTCTTACTGCCAAAGAGGTCAAGGATGCGGCTCAGGCCCAGCGTGCCTTTGGTGCTGGTCTGGACGGTTGGACTGGCGACGAGGTGTCATCCATTCCGCTTGAGATCTGGAGTGAACTTCTTCCCTTCATGATGCGTGTGAGTGCTTCGTGTTTTTCCTGCTGACTGGACAAAGAAGCCTAGTCGGGCTAGTGACGGGCCGGCACCTGCTGAGAGCGTGAGGCCCATATCCGTCATTACCGTCTTGTGGCGATTCTATGCCCCTGCTCGACTGAAATCACTTGGTGCCAGACTTGGTCGCCTGAGGATGCCCGCGACTGGCATCTCCTGTGCGTGCATTGATTACGAAACACCCCACGCCCACGTGCGCACAGTCGAAACAAGCTGAAGCCTGCGGCGCTGAACCCTGAACTTAAACCCTTCATAAAAATCTAAACCTTAAACCCTAAATCCCAAAACATTCGAAAGGTTTAGGGTTTTGGGGCGTAAACCATACATAATTATTGTAGCTTCTGTCGAGTTAGGTCGGACAGCCGGTTCCAAGAGATTGAAGCTGTAGCTAACATCGGGGCCTACATAGTATAATTACCAACACTATTTTGGGGGTATAGTATACTGGGCCCCCAAAATTTTGACATGCCGCTTTAGTTTCGTAGCTTTTTGGGGTTGTGGGTAAGGTTTCTTATGCCCGAATATTCCGAGACATGCATTTGTGTTATCTTTGAGGGAAGTACAGAATCTCCCCGAACCCACCTGAAACCCTAAACCCCTAAGGCCCTAAACCCTCAGCCCCCCGCCCCCCCTCGGGTCCCGGGCCCCCTGAAAGCCCAGATTTGCAGGAAGGCGATAGCAAGCCTCCGTTCCTGCTCATCGCCTTATGCCCGCGCCCCTGCTTTGATGCAGTCTGTGTTAGAAGCTGCCCCCACCCTGTCATAGTGGTATAATAGGAATATAATAGGGCCCTAATATAATCCTTATAATAGCCTTATAGTCACTATTACAGGGTGGGGGCAGCTTCTAACATCTGTGGTTCAGGATGCAGTTTTAGGGCCTTAGAGCCTTGCAGCTTAGGGTTTAGGGCCTTAGGGTCGAAGTTTTAGGGCGTTTTAGGGCCTTCCTTAGGGCATTGCAGCTTAGGGTTTAGGGCCTTAGGGGTCCTTACAGCTTAGGGTTTATGGCCTTAGGGTCTAGGGTTGACAGTTCAGGGCCGTGGGGGCTTTACTGATTAAAGGTTGGCGTTTACAGGTTGCTGCTTTGCAGTTCGGGGGGGTTGGAACGGCACCCATTATTTTCGGCAGGTGGGGAGGGGCGGCGGGGTGGGGCGTGGGGGGGGGGGGGGGGCTTAGTCCTATGAGCTTTATGACTTTATGGGTCAGTTGCAGCGTGGTTGTGGTGTTTGTGTATGGGGGCTGATGGCTTCGGTTTAGGGTGCAGAATTCCGAATCGATAAAGAGTCCGTGGCATGGGTGTCGACTAGTCTCTCAATTCAGAGTACCAGGTTCGACGACCCTGAAAGGCACTGTGCTTTACTAACCATAGGTACATGGGACATTCCAACTTTCAAACTTTCGGACGGGAACGGGACAAGAACCCTAATCTGCAAACTGCAAACTTCAGGCCCCAACACCCAGACACGCTGAAACCCTAAACCTTGAAACTCATCAGCACTTCGAACCCTGGACTCTCCAACTGCAGAAGCCCTGAAGCCTAAAACCGAACAGGCCTCAGCCCGCGCCCTCCTCGCTCTCGCTGTCGCACGTGCTCTCTCTCCCTCTCCATGTCTGTCTGTATGTCTGTCTCCCATCTCTCTCTCTCTCTCTTCTGGGTCTCATATTCTCTGTATCTCTCTCTCTCGTCTCTCGACTCGTTCTCTTTTGGTCTGTCTGTACCCCTTCTCTCTCTCTCTCTCTCTGGACTCTCGCTCGTCGGTTATCTTTTGGTCTTGTGATGTATCCCCTCTCTCTCTCTCTCGGCTCTAGCCTCGTTTCTCTTGGTCGTCTGTCTACCCTCTCGCTGTCTCTCTCTCTGGTCTCTCTCTCTCTATCTCTCTCTCTCTCCTCTCTTGTCTCTCTCTCTGTCTCTCGCTTCTCTCCTCTCTCTCGCTATCTCTATGCTCTCGCATCTTAGGTTTCTTTTGGTCTGTCTGTCTCTCCCCTCTCTCTTCTCTCTCTCTCTTGTCGTCTCGCTATTCGGTCTTTTCGGTCTGTCTGTCTCGACTCTCCTCTCTCTACTTCTCGCTGTCTCTCGCGCTTCGTTCTCTTTTGGTCTGTCTGGCTCCCTCTCTCTATCTATCTCAGCTGCTATATGTCTCTCGCTCTGCGTTTCTTGGGTCGTCTGTCTCTGCTTCAGGATCTATATCGTTCTCGATCTTCGTTTCTCTTTTGGTCTGTCTGTCTCCCCTCTCTCTCTCTCTCTCTCTCTCTCTCTGTCTCTCGCTCTTCGTTTCTCTTTTGGTCTGTCTGTCTCTGTCTCTCTCTCTCTCTCTGTCTCTCGCTCTTCGTTTCTCTTTTGGTCTGTCTGTCTCCCCTCTCTCTCTCTCTCACTGTCTCTCGCTCTTCGTTTCTCTTTTGGTCTGTCTGTCTCCCCTCTCTCTCTCTCTCTCTCTCTGTCTCTCGCTCTTCGTTTCTCTTTTGGTCTGTCTGTCTCCCCTCTCTCTCTCTCTCTCTCTGTCTCTCGCTCTCGTTTCTCTTTGGTCTGTCTGTCTCCCTCTCTCTCTCTCTCTCTCTCTCTGTCTCTCGCTCTTCGTTTCTTTTGGTCTGTCTGTCTCTCTCTCTCTCTCTGTCTCTCGTCTCTCTCTCTCTCTCTCTCTCTCTCTCTCTTCTCTTTTGGTCTGTCTGTCTCTGTCTCTCTCTCTCTCTCTGTCTCTCGCTCTTCGTTTCTCTTTTGGTCTGTCTGTCTCCCCTCTCTCTCTCTCCCTCTCTCTCTCTCTCTCTCTCTCTCTCTCTCTGTCTCTCGCTCTTCGTTTCTCTTTTGGTCTGTCTGTCTCCCCTGTCTCTCTCTCTCTCTCTCTCTCTCTCTGTCTTTCGCTCTTCGTTTCTCTTTTGGTCTGTCTGTCTCCCCTCTCTCTCTCTCTCTCTCTCTCTCTCTCTCTCTCCCCTACACAACCTGAAGTTGCATCCTGGTGAAACCTCACTCCGAAGCCCGATAAAGTCTCGACCCAAAGGTCTCAGCCCTAACAACTACTTGGGGGCCTGAATAATTACCTAAATTGTTTTTTTTTTTTTTTTTTTTTTTTTTGGGGGGGGGGGGGGGGGGGGTTCCTTTAAAGGGGTCTACAAAGGCTGCTATAAGGGCTATTGTAAGATTTATTAAGGATTTAGTATAAAGGCCTAAACAACTACTTATATTATTTTGGGGGGTTCCTTTTTGTGATTATAGTAGAATCCCCAAAACCCTATAGTAGGCCTTAGGGACTCGCGGCACTCAGGTTGTGTCATCCACTTCTGCTTGCTGGTCGTCCCTTTCAAGTGCATCACGCAGCACCCTGCAACGTCCTGGGCTGAGTTACGGGGCCGCTTTAGCGTGCTCAAGCCGGGGACGCGTGTTCTGCTTCATGTTTTTTTTTTTTTTGTTTTTTGTTTTTTGTCTTGTGGGTGCGTGTGTCTGCGCATTTTGAGGGGTGGGGGCAGGGGGGTACAGGACGCTTGGTATTTGGGGCTCCTTAATTTTATAGTTTTACAGCAGCCCTTCCAAATCTTGCGTTGAAGCGAAATGGAGGAACCCTTCATTTGGTAGAATAAACTCCTCGTGAAATATGTCAACCCTATGCAGCAGTCACCGGTGCAAGAGTTTTAATATGAGGGGTCCTTCACATAGAATGTACAGTTGAAGTCTGTGTGCATCACATACCCCATGCGCTCCTGAACACATCCTAAGCCTAACAAAGGCCCAAGGTTTCTTAATCAAGTTCCCACATTAACCCTAAACCCCTAAACCCTTAACCCTAGACTCTAATGATTCAGTGGTGGCACTGACTGAGTCCAGTTTGCAGCTCAATGTGAAGCCGGTCTCAAGGGTGGAGGGGTCTAATGTGTAGGGTTTAATTAGGGAAGTGTGTACTCCGCAAATCAGCTGGAAGCCCTACACTCTATACACGAAACCCTGAACCATGGACACTTAGCAATTTCTGGGGAATGATTCCATCAAGCTCAGTCCATGCCCGGAAGCTTTTGATCCTAAGCCAGACAAATCATCGAACATTGGTCTTAAAGATTGAACTCCACCCTAAAACCTAAACCTCTATGTAGATGACAGGATCCAGCTGCCACAGACTCTGAAGGAGGACTGTCAGAAGTTACACCTCTTTCGTTCCTTGGGGTTTTTTTTATGACATGCGGCTCCAGCGTTCATGCACTGTTTCGTAGGTTTAGCAAACAAGGGCTATCATATAAAGTAGAAGCCAGAAAGTTGGAATATGATTATCCTAACCCTTCTATGGTAAATGATAGGGTATCCTACCATGAAACCATATTCCAACTTTCTGGAGTTCCCTGTAAGCCGCTCCTTGTCAAGACGCCCAAAAAGCGTGATGCAACTCCTGGTGCTGCAGAAACCTCTCCTTCCGCGCAAGCCTTACCCAGAGATCCCAATACCCTTAACTAAGGATACCCTTTAATTAAGGATTATAAGGGTTCGTTAAAGGGCTCCTTAAAGGGATCTATAAGGGGGTCTATAGGGGAATTAAGGAAGATGGCTTAAATTATACAGGGCTTCATATTATGATTTTAGCTAGACTCCTTAATAAAGGGGTATAGGGCTCTCTGGGTACGGGAACCCTGAGAGGACCCGTGAAGAAACCCTTGAAGGAGCCCTTAGAGGAAACCTAAGCACTGACTGGAAGGAAGAACCGGAGAGAAGTGCGAGGAAAAGCGCCCGTTAAACCAAATTGAAGAAGCGCTCTGAAGTTCGGATTCAGGTTTCAGGGCTTACACAAAAGGAGTGAATAAGAATTTGACTTGTGGGGGGGGGGGGGGGGGGGGGGGGGGGGGGGGGGGGGGGGGGGGGAGTGTTCAAGTATACCATAAATATGAAAGGACTTTGCGAATTATTCCGACCCTATATTATACATTAGTGCTCCTGTACATTTACTTTTGTCGACGCCATACCCCAGTGTAATTCTAAACAGTAGTTTGATCGTGAGTGTACCGTACACCTACAGAAGAATCTTTGGGGTTTCGGGGTCAAGGCTTATGGATTTTGTATACTCAAAGGGGAAAAGGAGGGACCCTTAATGGGGACCCCTACCCTATAATGGGCTACATAATGGGTATATAATAGCTATATTAAGGGTATATACCTAGGGGTCCTTGTTAAGGGTCCCTCCTTTTACCCTTGGATATACTGTTCCGTACGAGTTCCACAAGGGTTCTATAGTAGGGATGCTTAGGCTTTAGGGTTGAGGGTCTAGGGTTTTAGGGTTTGCGGTTTGGGGTTTGGTTCTACTGATTCTACTGACGTTGTACCGGGGTTAGTGCGGTTATGGTTCAGGGCTTAAGCGCTTAGCAAGAGATCCTGCGCTAGAACAGGGTCACGAACTTGCATGGCAGCTTGGAGAGCCATCCCTGCACCATAAAGTGCACGGTTTAGGGTTTAGGGTAAGTCCGAAACCCCCAGGCATTAAGCCAAGTCTTAAAGTAGGGTGGTCCTAGTTATGATACTTGCAGCTCTACTTCTAACATAACTATTTGCCACGACCCTTGATCCTTCAAATATCTAGACCCTTAACCCTAGAAACCCAAATTGCCCGACAGCCCTCAAGCAAACAAAATGCCCAAGACATGCTACCACAACAACACAACAAGAACACTAATCTCCGGATTGACCCCGAGACCTCCGAAGCCTCTGAAGTAGGACTGCAAACCCCAAACCCTGAATAGATCCTAAGCCCTAAATACAGGGGGCTTGATAATTACCTATACTACTTTGGGGGGGGGGGGGTCCTTCTTATAGTCACAAAATGATGGGCCCCAAAACCCTATTCTAATTATTAAGGCCCCTATACCACAGATCCGTATCTTGGATCCCTTTAAAGGAACCCTATTCTAAGTCTTACGGCCCCTATATTAAAGCTTAAACCAGGAACCCAAGTTGGAGACGAAGCACCATGAGCCATTGTCGCTGTATCGCCTTTGCCTTGGCTCCGTTAAGGGGGTTTAGGGTTCCTTTACAGTAAAAGCCAGAAAGTTGGAATATGATTATCCTAAACCCTTTATGGTAAATTATAGGGGATCCTACCCTGAAACCATATTCCAACTTTCTGGATTTCCCTGTAATTTTAATTTATTGTAGTATCCCTTATAGATCCCTTATAGTAACCCTTATAGACCCCTTTAAAGGAGCCCTAATAAAGGCCCTACATTAAGGGTTCCTTCGAGGCGGTTCAGGGTTCCTTTTGCTGAGAGTTTGGGGCGCCTTTATGGGCTGGGGCTTTCGAGAAGGAGTTGGGGTTTAGGGGTTTAGGGTTTAGAATTTAGGGTTTAGGGTTTAAAGTTTAGGGTTTAAAGTTTAGGGTTTAGAGTTTAGGGTTTAGGGTTTAAAGTTTAGGGTTTAGAGTTTAGGGTTTAGGGTTTAAAGTTTAGGGTTTAGAGTTTAGGGTTTAGGGGGTTCTGAGGGCCTCGGGTTTCGATTTCTGAGGGCCTCCGGTGTCGATTTCATGCAGGGGCCTTGAATCGGCATTTGATATTTAGAACAGGAGGTATACTATACCTGTAAGAAGGAACGTGTTGGTAAGTATTTAGGCCCCTCTATTGGATGTAGGGGTTTAGGGGTTGTGGGCAGTTTGTAGCGTTTCTGGGTATCTGGTTTTAGGATTTCGGAAGTTGCGGTTTGGCAACTTGGGGGGGGGGTGTTCGTCATGTTGTCGGGTGTTACCTAGAGGCTCCGTAGTAGTTCCTCTTTGGGGTTCATATCCAGAACCCGATAAGGTAATCCCAAAAAGGAACTACTCGTACTATGGAGCCTCAGGTAACCCTCAGGCCCCATACGAAGTTGGGGAGAACCGTTTCCATCTTTTCTCGAGCACCTCAGCCATCATAAGCCCTAGCCCAAACCTTAATATAGCCCACCAGGGTCCAGCCCTCAAGCCAAAAGCACCTCCTCACAATCTGCACTACGTTGGTTCAGTCGAAGTTGCAGCGCGACCAGCGTTTTGCAGTTATTCTAACACTGTAAGCCATGTTGAGAGCCCTTGTGACATGCCTCAGTCCGAAGCACAGGCGACGGGACAGTGGACACGTTGCCAATGCAGGTGCATCGGCCATGTCTTTACAGTGCAGCGTCAGGCATCTTACTTAACAGCAGCATCAGCAGCGGTGAGGCTTACTGTATGCATGGGTCGGGGAAGCAAACTACCACCTCCCCCCGCAGCACGCACTGTTCCCGGATGCAAACACTAGGAACTAAACCACAGAAGCCTAAATCGTTCCCGATCGTTGTGGGAAGGATGCCTTAACATGCATTGAAAGTGCCATGCCGACGACTACTTAGTCCTGAACGCTAACCCTTCGTGATCCATGACCCACTCAGATGCAAGCCTGAAATCATTTGAAAGATCTAGGGATCCGGAATCGGTGACCGTTTTCGTTGCAGAAATTTAATGGAGTTTCGGACCTGGGTCTGCATGTTGAGGGTTGGGGGCGTTCAGGGGTTCGCAAGGATTTGAGGCCTCTTAGCTCGTGTGCTGTTTGAATAAACTGTCAAGCGACTCCGTCGGTCAGTCAGTTAAGGATTGGGGCTTAGGCTTTCGGGATCAAGCAAGTAACCTTTTCTGCCCCTAAACCCTAAACCCTATAACCTTGCCTAGTGCCTGCACAGTCCCAGCGGATACTGTAGCATTTAGTCCCCCTACGAAACTGGACAAGTAAGTAAGGCAGACTCTGACGCTTACGCTAAGGGTCTTCCTTCATATTAAACATTAGGATCCAGGTTATAGTCCCTTTTAAAGCAGGCGAGTGTTCAATCAGTGAATCAGGGGTCTGCATTAGGATTAATCAAGTCTCGTAGCCTGCTAAATGATTCGCACCCCGGATTTCAGGCGTACTTACCCCAGTAGTAGAGTCTGCAACTTTAACCTTTCAAATGTACATTGCATATTCGCGAAGCTCGTCTCACGCCTTTCGCTGAGGACGCAGCCTAACTCACGTGGGGTACTATAGCCTCTGTATAAATCATAATATTAATAATAATAATAGTAATAATAATATATATATATATATATATATACACTCCCAAATGTTGACCTGTAGTTCCCCAGGATACTGGACGAGAAGGTTATCCAAGCAAACCGGAAATCCTCTGGCAGGTCACTCCCCTGCTGGAGCTTTACGAGAGCCAGGCGGTTGATGCGAAAGCATCCGAAATCCCACACACAGAAGCTCATAAGGGACCCTTAGGGGGGTAGGGGGTAGGGGCCTTAATGTCCAGAATAGGGACCTAACAAGGCCGATTTAAGGAAATATCCCCCCCCCCCACCCACCCATTAGGGTCCCAAGGACTTAAGGATTAATCCTGGTATGGTATGGTGGCAGAGTCTCGGGATATGGGCTCAGGGTTCAGATCTAAAGGGTGTGTGCAGAACTCTGGGGATTTTGAGCTTTAGCTCTGTTTCCAACCCATGGCTCAGTCCTTTTTCCGCCACAGCTCTCAACCCACACAGGGAGTTGCTGGCTTGTAGGGTGTTGGGCATGCACAGTTAATACAGAGGTCGGAATCATGAACCTTAAATGTATATGATTAACACTCGCACCTTATCGTCCCTAAACAAGGTGTCAAGTGTGCCAAAAAAGTCCCGCCGAAACCCGGTTCCAAGTGTTCAGGCCTCTGACTTCGGTTTGGCGGAATTTCTACACTGGTGTGATCTTTGAGTCATGTGCTTGGGTGTCGAGTTTAGGTTAGGGTTCAGGGCCTCGGGCTTAGGGTAGCGCAGTTGGGGCTCAACACTCGATGAGGTTAAGCTTTACTGCGTAGCTTAGGTTATGCATGGACATAAAACCTCCAAGTTTGCAGCTGGCCCTAGACACCCCATGTGCGTATGTACAAAAACATACATATATACGTACGTACGTTTCCGTCTGTCTGTTTGTCTGTACGTCTGTCGGTCTGCCCGTGCGTCCGTCCGTCCGTTTGTCTGTCTGTCTGCAGGTATGTCTCTATGTCTGCAGTCTGCATGCATGTATGCACGCATGTACATGTGCATGCACGCCACCAAATATGCAGGCAAGTAAGTAGCTATGTATGTAATTATGTATGTATGTATGTATGTATGTATGTATGTGTGTATGTATGTATGTGTGTATGTATGTATGTATGTATGTATGTGTGTATGTATATCTTGGGTTATGTTGGGACGTAAGTATGAGCATATACGTATGTGTACATATGTATGTATGTATGTATGTATGTGTATATACACATTTGTTATGTACCTGGTTGAAAGGTGCATTACTGCAAGAAAGTGTTGGGCTTTGGGCTCGGGGTTCGCAAGGGTTTGGACAAGAGTGTCATGCTTTCTTCTACCATACAGGGCGGGTTTAGCGCTGTTGAACGCTCGTGGGATTGAGTAGCTGGCTTCAGGTAAGGATGGAAGCTTGTTTGGTTGATGCTCCCGGGTCCGCGTAAGTACGTTTGGGGAGGAGGCGAGCCTGCTACGATAGCTGTGTTTACGCGGTCTCTGACCAATGAATGCTCTGGTCATTGCCCCTGGATAGAACTTCTTATTCTTGTTGACCTCTACGTGGCCAGTTGCCTTCTCAAGCATGGTGTTGTTGCATCTGTTGTTGGTCATCTCAGTAGAACCGACGTTGCCTGCAGGTGTGTGTGGCAGTTTTCCTGCAATTCAAGCATGAGAAAGGTAGTTACACAGTAAACCCGCAGCCACAAGGACTATGCAACACATGGCGTTGTGTTTTCTTCACTAGTGTCATGTATAGGGTCTAAGGCTGTAGACGTTGTATTGCATGTAAAGCTCCACCGTAAAACTTTTGGCCACAATCACTCACTACACACACTGTTTGTGGTGACAACCGCGCCAGGTGTCTGGGGCATTCGGGTTTCATGGTGTAGGTTTGTAGTAAGTATGATAGGCAGGGACCATGTCTGTAGTCTGATAGGCAGGGACCATGTCGGTAGTCTGAATAATGCGGCGAAACGGTGATGAGAGAGAGGGTGGGTGAGCTTATCGGCAGGTAGAAGCGTAGCACACGAAGACAACACAAGGTCGAATGGTTCGGCTCCACAGTTGCTTGCCGGCTTTCGGATGCTGGGACACGTCAAAACTGACAGACGTGTCGGTAGCATGGGCTATCGAAGAACAGATCATCGCAGACATTTCGGTTGCCTGTGGGCGGCATCTGAATCAAAAGTTAATGTTCCAGCTCGGGTTGTGTTTGAACATGTCTGGATCAACCCTAAACCAGAGCTTTACGACCCTGCCGCGAGTTCGTTGAGGTCTTCCAAACTTTCCTAGAAGCACGCAGCCAACGAAATCAAAGACATCGAAAACGAGCTTTGTTTCCGACAGGAAAGGCTTGGCAGCAACCGTGCGGTGCTGGGAGCTGAGGCACCACGGTGCGCCTAGTTTCGTGTTGAGGTGTCGCGATATACGCCTCGGGCTCAATTTCTTGGAATCCCCGTCTTGTTTTCGGATAATATGCCTAGACACTCGCATAGTTTCCCGGCCCTGTTCTGCGCTCTGAGCCATGGCATGTCGTGCAATTGCACGAGGGCCCTTCAAAACAAAGCCGAACCTGAACCCAAAATCTCCTTGTCAGTTCGTTTCGCTTGTATTGCGAGGTTGCAATCTCTCGAGCGCATCGCATCCATGAAGGTCATCGCACCGTGCGCCGGCAACATTGATGTCAGAGACGGTGACGTGGTAGATTGGCGCAGTTTGGTACAGTTGCCCAGTACGTGTTGTTTTCGCTGTTTGGTTGTTCTGTTTGTCTCGGATTTAAGGCGTCCTTTTGTTATGTCGCAGAAGGCTTAAAGAACCGCGCATAGACAAAATCATGACAGATCCTTGCCAAGTCGGGCCCCATGTCTGCAATGTGGTCCCCGTAGTTGCAAAACTGTGCTTGGTAGCATGGTTTTCCAATGCTTGTTTTTGCTACAGTATGGATAGCCACCAACGGGCAAACCTGTTTCACCAGATATCCTTAAGCACCACAGCTTTGAAACCCTAGACCCTCGAACGCCAGAGCCGTCGAACCCTAAATATTAGACTCTTAAGACCTTATAATGTAGACTAGATCCTTTGCAATTACTTGCATATAGTATCCCTTATCGCTCCCGCAAAGGAACCCTTAATATAGGGGCCTTCTCAACTACCAATACTATTTGTTTGGGGGGTTCCTTATTATAATTGTAGTAAAAGGGGCCCCAAAGCCCTACTCTACTTGCTGAGTCCGCTAAATTATAGTACGTTATTATAGGTTTCTTATAGTAGCCCTTATAGACCCCTTCAAAGGAACCCTGTTCGAATTCTTAAGGGCCGTAATAGAACCCTCAATCCTAGGACACAAAGGAACCCTTAATATAACCCCAAATCCCCTCCTGAACCCTCAACCCCAAACTAAACCCTAAACCCCGAACCCTAGAACCCTATTTAAAGGATCAGGAGACTTAGTAAGTAGGGTTATAAGTAAGGTAACTATAGTTATTTCTACTTATAACCGTAATTAAGGTACTTATAACCCTACTGACTAAGTCCCATGATCCTCCAAGTAGAGCCCTCAATCCTGGGACACCTGGAACTCAGTTCTTTTGCCAGGCCGGGGGAGACTTGGGCTGCGTGGCTCTATGTGGCCCGGCTTCAAAAAGAAGGGGGGGTTTAGGGGTTTAGGATTTAGGGGTTTAGGAGTTTAGGGTTTAGGGGTTTAGGATTTAGGGGTTTAGGAGTTGAGGGTTTAGGGGTTTAGGAGTTTAGGGTTTAGGGGTTTAGGGTTTAGGGGTTGAGGAGGTTAGGGTTTAGGGTTTAGGGGTTTAGGAGTTTAGGGTTTAGGGGTTTAGGGGTTTCGGGGTTTGGGGTTTAGGAATTTAGGGTTTAGGGGTTTACGGGTTTAGGGGTTAGGGGTTTTGGGTTTAGGAGTTTGGGGGTTTAGGGTTTGGATTTTTCGGGTTGTAGGATTCAGAGTTGCGGGTTTGGCGAGCCCCAAACCCTTAACACTCAAAACCTAAACCCCTGAACTGCTAGGGCCTTTGCGGGCTAAACCGGGAGTCCACCCTAGGGTTTATGGTACTCACAAGACCGCGGCCGCCTGTCGCACGATCAGAATATACTGCAAACGATGGCATATTCTTACCACGATCAGGTACGACTCCTGCTTCTGCCGCTGCTTAACGGTGCCTAAACAAACCCCAGAGACATTCGGGGCGCAGCCTGGAGTGATACAGCGTAACCCCGAAGCCGCCCAAGCCAAAAAACGAACGTCAATCCCGAAAGCTCCGAGATTTTGTTGACCCTAGTTGTTGGGCCTGATTCAGAACTGCTGATATAGCCTGAGCGAAGCGGTCCTCGATTCTACTCTACACCTCAACGCCTAGCCCAGCCGACAGCGAGGATGGTTGGCTGTCGATGGCCGCCTGGGTACCCGTCGCCTTCCCAGTCTGGAGTTGGCCAAAAACCCCACACTTAGAGGATCATGGGACTTAGTAAGTAGGGTGATAAGTACCTTAACTAGGGTAAAAAGTAGATATAACTATAGTTACCTTACTTATAACCCTACTTACTAAGTCCCATGATCCTTTAAGCAAGCAATGACCTGCACCCTGAGTCCCCTAGACCCTAAACCCTAAACCGTGAGTCTCGACTAGACTGGGCTCATTAGGCCGTAAGCCCCGAAGCAAGGAATCCAAGCGACCACGTCAGACACCTCAATTCAGCTGGAATGGTCCTCTAGGTTTCGGGTCGGGGCTCAGAACAGGAGCCTGAAGTATCTCCTTGCAGTCCCTGGCAAAAGTGTAGTAGAGTATACCCCAAACCCTGTTCCAATTCAATCATGGCGCCCTCCTGTCCCCAGCTGTGCGACAGCATTGTTGAAGCACCTCGAGACCAGTGGCTTGAAACAGGAGGCCATCCATCAGGAGTTTCAGCTGTACAACTTGTTGGTTGTCGGGGAGACAAGCCTCAACAAGATCTTCGAGAAGAAGACGGGAAGCGACGCAGATTGCCATTACTAAAATCAAATCGTAGGAGAAAGGGTACCCTGATTGTTAAGGGGCTTCTTGGGAACCTGGGACCTAGAACAGGTGTTTGAGATCTTCGCGGGAGGCCCTCTAGGGTTAGAAGCCGCAAACCCTCTGTCCTGCCCTAAGTTTCCTGTAAAACAGAGACTCCAAAAGCCCGTAATTAAGGAACATACCCTCAAATCGCATCAGGGCTCCTATCCTAATTTAAGGGATTTCTCTGACAAGGGCAGTTAAGAGACCAGGGAAGTCGATCAGAAGTAGGACTTATACCTCCGCTGAAACCTGCCTACTAAATTCCCTGCCCCTGGGCGACGATACCAGGGCGACGATACCATAGAATTTCCCTTAACCTATGTATGAAACCGTAGCAAACGAGCCCCTGAAATGTCTAATTCAAGGGCCTGTCTAATTTCAACATGGGTTTGTGGTATGCTTTAGTGACTACTGTATAACTCTGATGAGGAACCCATGGAATGGTACTGGTAATCATGTTGGCTTCGATATGGGTGGTTGTCAAAATTAGGGTACCCAAAAAGGGGCCATAATTTTGACAACCACCCATATGACTGAAGCTTGAAAAAGCATCATGCAAGAATGGCCCCCTGTACAAGCTGATGTCTGAGAGAGTCTCAGAAGTCCTCGGAGGACCCAAGACGACACTCGGCTTCGTCCAGACGAGCAGACCGAGACCGTCAAGTACGTCAAGGTCGGCAAGACTAGCCTCTCGGTGCTGCCCTGGCTGAGTGGCTCGGCCAGCCGCCAGCTGCTGAGCACGTACAAGAGACGGAATGTCGTGCCGAACACCCGATTTCGCATAGAGCTCGTGACGCTCTGCCGTTTGGCCAAGCATGCGTGGCAGATTTTAGGGTTTAGGGTTTAGGGTTTCGGCAGGGTTCTCATGGTCAGATCGACTCTTGGCCCTGATCTCTGCACCCTACCCCCCGAAACCACCCACCCTGGACCCAAATACGCTGAACCCCAAACCCCTCTGATATAGGAGCCTTTGTAATTGGACTGGAGTTTCCTTGGCTCCTTATCAAAGTGGTACTTGAAAATGCACCAAAACTTTCTTAAGCCTGATATTGAGCCCTTACATAGCGTGTATAGTTGCCTTTATAGACCGCTCAAGGCCCCTTTCTCAGGCCTAAACCCTCCAGCCCGCACCCCCGGAGACTCCAAAGCCCTGTAGTTTAGGACCATCCCTTAAAAAACGAACCTACTTTGATTTCAGGTATATTTCTGAAAAATAGGAGCTCTAAGATGAAGAAAGGGCATATTCCTTTCTTAAGGGGTTTTTGGAGTCCTAATATGCTTTACGGTAGATTCCTGAACTAAGGGGGTTTTGGAGTCTCTGGGCCCCTAAACGCCAAGTTCCTGGTGGTGAGCCTTGGCCTGGTTCCGTCCGTGATCCTGGCTGGCCTGATGATCTTTGATGGCAGGCCGGATTTAGGGTTTTGTGTTTGGGGGTTTTGCGATCTGTGTTTAGGGTTTAGGCTTGAGGGCTTTGATGGCAGGCCGGGTTTAGGGTGTTTTTCTGGTTTTGTGCAGAGGGTTTAGGGTTTTGTGTTTGGGGTTTAGGGTTTTGTGTTTAGGGTTTAGGGTTGAGGGTTTTTTCTGGTTTTGTGCTTAGGGTTTAGGGTTGAGGGGTTTTTCTGGTTTTGTGCTTAGGGTTTAGGGTTTTGTGTTTGGGGTTTAGGGTTGAGGGTTTTTGGGTTTTGCGTTTAGGGTTTAGGGTTTGGGGTGTTAGGATTTGTGTTTAGGGTTTAGGGTGGAGGGCTCAGTAGTTAATGGCTTTCATGGCAGGCCGGGTTTAGTAGTTACCCAGAGACTCCGAAACCCCGGGACCCCTTAAGTAAGGAATGTACCTCAAGTCCTATCAGGGTTCCGAAATTTTTCAGAGATGTTCCTTAATTAAATAAGGGGGGGGGGGGGTTGGAGTCTTTAGGTAGTTTGGTTGAAGGTATGCTACTTACTGACTTAACTGTTATTGGGCTCCTTTTCTTTGGGTTCTCGTCCTTACTAACCACTGATATTGGAGGAGCTAAGGAGCCAGGGGTGATGATAATCCTTACTTAATAAGGAGCTAAAGAGCCAAGGGAACCCCAAAACCATAGGTTAGTTTACCACCGAAAGCTTACCAAGCTGACAGCTGGGCCCTAAGCCCGAATGGAAGTCCTCACACCCGGTTTAGGGTTTAGGCTTTAGGGTTTAGGGTTCACCACTCAACTCAACAGCAATAATCAGACCCAATGCACAAAGCAAGCAAGAATTCCCAAAACAAGATGCCTTAACCACAAGACAGCCTTGAAGGGAAAGCCCTTTTGAAACCACTGGAAAATATGAAATTCAACCACAAAACCCCAAACCCGAAACCCAAAACCCAAAAACCCTATATACAACCCTTGTAGATCCCTTTAAGGAACCCTTTTGGATCCCTTTAAAAAAAACCCTAAAGCCTAAACCCTTAACCCTTAAACCCTAAACCATAAGACAAAGCAGGTTTCATTCCCGGCGGACGGTGCTCATCGCCATGTGGTGCGGCCTGGTGACCGGCACTTCGAGTCTCAGGGTGGCGACCTCGGTTTAAGGCTTTAGGGGTTTAGGGTTTTAGGGTCTGGGGTTTAGGGCTGTTAGTCGGACTTGTGTGTGTGTGTGTGCGCTGTGTTTTTGGTGTAGCTTTACAAGCCTCTCATGAGGATTTGTTTGTTGGGCTCTAAAGAGCCTTAGGTCTGAGGATGTTTTGGGTACAGGTAGGTTGTACTTCAGTTGGATCTGATACCCTACAAATTCGGGACACTTCGTGGTTTCTCCCGGATTGGACTGGGCCTTGGGGTGTAGGGTGTAGGATTCAGGGTTTAGGGTTAAAGGATCAGGGGGGCATTGTTGGCCGGTCGCCAGTATACCTAGGATGCCCAGTAGTACCCTCCATCTCTTTTTGTAGTCCTAGGTTGCTTATTAAGTTACAGAATACCATAAAGGGAGCCCTTTTTATTCCTAGGTTACTGGACATCCTAGATACTTGACTCAAGCCCAAATGAGGAGCATCCCTGAAACCCCGCAACGCTCGGATCCTGAACCTCAAACTTGTGAAACTGATAAACCTAAGCCCAAATGGGAGTTTCCGAATATGGGGGACCCTAATACCCTAAGTAGTAGGATCCTTATTTTAATTTGGGCGTTTCCGAATATGGGGGACCCTAATACCCTAAGTAGTAGGATCCTTATTTTAAGGACTCCCAAAATAAGGTACCCCTTCTTTTTCGGAAACTCCCAAATGAGCCCAACCCCCTAGGTAAGCGTAAGCCCAGCGTGAACCCAACCCCACAAGCCCCAAACCCAGAACCTCGGAACATGATATACCCAATACCCCTTAATTAAGGACTATACCTTAAATTATAGGGTGATTAAGATTATGATTTAAGTAAGGTGTATTCCTTGATTAAGGGGTATTGGGTTCTCTGGGTATAAAGCCAACCGCTCCTGAGCTCAGACCGCCGTGTTCGCCAGCGTGGCAAGGCTTGGCCCCCGTGCATGGGTGTACACAGAAGCAAATACAGCGGACAGTTTCTCTATGCCTTAGCTGAGTGGATACACTTTATTACACTTTTTGTGACAATATGACGCACTATAAAACTGAAAGTGTGCACTTTTGGGGGGCTTACGAGCTCAGTAACTAAGATGCTGGGTCTGGGACAGGATGTTGGGTTTTAGGGTTTAGGGTGTGTGCAGGATTGCAGGATTAAGGGTTTCTGCGCACTCGCTGTTGGGTGTTCGGGGTCAGGGAACTCAGCAACAGGGTTAGTTTGGAAGCCGGAAGGGTTCCCTGCTGCTCGAAAAAATAATTACTTATGTAAATTTAGATTACAAAAACTATTACTTAATTATGTGAAGTTAGATTACAAAAAACTAAAGCCCTATTCTAAATCAGCAAACGTTTTGTAAAGGCTTTTGTAAACACCCCTGAGAGAAGGAGTGCTCAGCATGCGCAAGGGATCCTACTGGATCAGCTGTGATAAGACAGGGTCATCAACAAAAAAACTTGCTAGCAGGGTCACCGGGATCTGTCAATGACATGCCGGGTTTAATATCGCTTGCTTGGAGGATCATGGGACTTAGTAAGGAAGGTTATAAGTACCTTAATTAAGGTTATAAGTAGATATAACTATAGTTACCTGACTTATAACCCTAATTACTAAGTCCCCTGATCCTTTAAGTGTGGAACCTGATATTTATCAGCCTACTTAGCCTCCCCGAGTCTCGAAGTAAGTCTGCAACCTCTAGACCTTAAATGCCAGGTGGCGTGTTCAACTGTGCATGAACAAGAACTACATGGTCCTGCTGGTCCGTGGGCTTAGGGATTAGGGTTGAGGGTTTAGGGTTGCCGCTTTTTGTTTGCCTCTGTGTCCCACGGGTCTAAACGATTGGTACAGCAACCCATGTCTACAGAGGCCGTGGTCTACCGACTAAGGCCAGTGAACCTAAGCTCGGAAAGGTGGTTGGGCCCGGCAAGTAGGGACAGTAGCTTTGCCGAAGCTACAAATACTAGTGGAAATACTAGTAGTGCGAATCCACAGGGATTTAGTATAGGGGACTTACCAATTGCCTATACTACTTTGGGGGTTAATTACTGCCATTATGGTATTATAATGGTCCCCAAAACTCTATTCTAATTGTTCTTAAGGCCGCTAACCTTATGGATCCCTTATAGTAACCCTTATATAGAGCCCTTTAAAGGAGCCCTATTTTAATTATTCTTAAGGCCCTACATTAGGGGCTTCCCGTTGTGGTTTTAGGATTTGGTGCTCAAGGGTTTAAGCGTTTCGGTCATTGCAGCGCGCAAACCCTCAACCCTAAACCGAAACCCATAACTCGGAGGCCTCACAAGGTGGGATGAAGGTAGGTAGGATTTCGGATCCCTTATATAAGGACTCTTATTTGGGGAATATCCCACCTACCTTCATCCCATCTTTTGAGGCCTCCAAACAACAAATCCTGACCTTGGAAAGTGGCCTTCGGTTAAGTCTTGACTTGTCGGGCATGGGAGCAATCTGGTGTTGCTTTTGCAGCTGCAGTTGAAGAATGATGATGTTTTTTGTCGCTCCCCCCCCTACCCCCAGAAAGTGCCTATGTCCGCGAGGCAGGGCGAGATTAGTATAAGGATTGACGGCGAAACGACGACAGCGCGGCGGCGAGGAGCGGGTGAGTTTAGAGGTGTAGATACTGGTAAGAATAGAGGGCCTCTATGCAGCTCAAAGAGAATCCCAAAACATACCGTAGACCTCCTGTGCGAGAGCGGGCCCAGGACAGCGGCAGCCTGGAGCCAAAAACCTGAGCCCGAACTCCCGATTTAGGGTTTAGTTTAGGATTTGGGTGTTTGGGGTTTAGGGTTTGGGCATTTAGGAATTTGGGATTCCGAGACCAAGCGTTCGAATCTGCCAGAAGAAGACAACGTCGGGTATGTCGGGCGGGCACCACGAGCTGGGCACCCCAGGGGCCTGTGAGGTTTGGCGTAGGGTTTTCCTAAAAAATACCCAACATGGGAGTTTCCGAGAAAAGGGGTACCTTCTTTTGGGGGCCCGTCCCCGTATAATAAGGATTCCAGTACTTAGGGTGCTAGATTAGGGTCCCCTGGTTGCTTGCCCAAGCCCGTAAACTCGCACACACAAAGCTCATAGGCTCCTAAACCCTAAACCCTAAACCTTAAACCCTAAGCCCTAAACCCTAAACCCTAAACCCTAAACCTTAGACCCTAAACCCTAAACCCTAAACCTTAAACCCTAAACCCTAAGACCCTAAACCCTAAACCTTAAACCCTAAGACCCTAAACCCTAAACCTTAAACCCTAAACCCTAAACCCTAAACCTTAAACCCTAAACCCTAAACCCTGATCTAAGCCCTAAACCCCCAAACCTTCAAGCAATGCGCAATGCTAGGCCTCAGCCGTTGAGCCCCTCAAGACATTCGGATCCTCGGGTTTTGGGGTGTGGCTGTGCATATTTCAGGGTTCAGGGCTTAGGGTAGAAGGGCTTTTGTGCTTTAGGTTAGGGTAGGGCAAAGTTTAGGGTTCAGGTCTTTAGACAAGGGGCGTAGCTGAGGTTGTTTGAGGGTTCGTGGTTTCGGATTTCAGGTTTGACTCGAGCGATTGGGACAGCAGGAAATAGAAACTTCATATAGAAGCCTGAATAATTCTAAGAAATTACTTCTATTATTCCGAGTTCCTTTCTTGTCGTTTAGGCTGCCAGCAAACTTGCTTGTTGTGCCGTCGCACTTTTGCTGGACAGCCAGAGTGCACCGAAGCACATCCGTGTGTCACCGGGCATGGGACACATACCCTTATACGGAAGCCCAATTCCACGACCCTAGACCCCAAATCCCAAGACAACAGAAAGGTGGCGGTTTCAGACAAGTGCGTCCGAGTATGGAGCGCTTAGGCAACAGAATTCTCATTATCAGAGCCCCTAAATGGCCCTTCTTTTCAGTCTAGAAACCCTGCAGTCAGAGACGTTAAACTTTACACCCCCGAAAAAGAAGTGCCCTTATCGCGCTATAGGACCCGATAACACGATCACAAAACCTTAAAGCCCCAAATCCAGAACCCAAAAGGCTGACAACGCTGAAACCCAAAACTCTTGCGAAAGCTCTAAAACCCGAGACCCTGACACCTAAAACCCTCCAACCCGGAAGCCCTTGACCTCAAAAAACCCAATCTCGAAGCCCAACAAACTCTAAACCCCAAAACCCGGAACCGCCTATGCTCTATAGAACCTTTTCAGCGTTGCAGAACGTTCTTTAAATCCCTTACAGGACCTACCCTATGCCCCCAAACCCCAAACCCTAGACCCAAGAAAACGAAGCCAAGCCCTCAACTCCGGAAGCCTTAAACTCGGCATAGAAACCCTTGGACCCGTGTAGAACCCTCATAAAACGCTTAACCTTAAAGCCCAAAACCCCTCACCCTTAAAACCCTAAACCCCGAAACCCCTAAGCCCTAAACCCTTCAACTTCCGAAACCCTTTAAAACCCTAAACCCCTAAGCCCTAAACCCTTCAACTTCCGAAACCCTTTTCACCCCCAGGTCTCGCCGGACCAAGCGCCTGGGTGGAGGGCGGAAGGTGATCATGGCGGACCCATGGGAGACTCGCCTCCGCCAAGTTTGGGGTCCTTTAGGGGGATGCCTTTGCGGGTTCTATAAGGATTCCTTTAAGGGCTCCTTTAAGGGTTCCCTGTAGGGTTTAGGGTTTGGGGTTTAGGTTGGGGAGTTTGGGTTTTTAGGATGAGTTTGTTGTCAGGACTGACAGTGGTTTAAGCTTTCTGATTTCAGCATGTGTGAAGCATGCCCCGACATCCAAACTGAGCACACTCTTCCGGGAATGAGTACACATAATGCCTTGGTCGCGGTGCTCACTGTCGTCTTAGGGCTTTAGAGACTTTCACCCAAAAACTATGCTGTGCGTGCTTTGTGCCCCTTACAAGATTGCGGTATCGTAACGTGCTGCTCGTGCATACCGCACCTCCCAACCTCATCCAAAACCCTCGACACCAAACACCTACTATAGGGGCCTTAATCATTACCTATACTAGATTGGGGGTTCCTTATTTTAGTTATAGTATAATATACCCCGAAACCGTGTTCTAATTATTCAGGCCCCTATGGTAACTTCGAAAGTTAGAACTCGAACTCAGGACACCCCCACATCGTCCAGCGAGGAGATGATGGGATCAGGGATTTTTGTAAGTCGGCCAGGTTAAAGTACTATATTTTTGAATGTCAATCTTCTAAGCACGTGCCCAGCCATCTTTTGAACTTGTTCATGCGCCCTAAACCCTAAACCCCTAAACCCTAAACCCTAAGGCTTACCCAAATCCCAAGATTCAAGTCCCTGTTTAGGGACTCGGGACTGCTACAAGTATTTACGCGTGTCGGGTTGAGCCTTCTGGGCTGTGTATGTTTAGTTTAAGGGGCCTTAATAAGTAGAATAGGGTTTTGGGGGGCCATTATACTATAATTCTAGTAAGGAACCCCCAACAAAATTCATTTAGGCCGCCATTTTACGCTTGGGTTGTGTTCCAAAGGAGGAGAAGCTACTGTTGCTGGTCGACGATGGGCACAGTGCTCCCCTGATTGACAGCAAGCCCCACTTGAGACTTTACTCCCTAATCTTTACCTGAACCTTCCAAAACCTACTTTTTGGAGGTTCTTACTATGAACCTTAATATGGAATGTATAAGGATCCTACAAAGAAGTAGGTTCTGGTGAGTTAAGGTAAACCTTCAGCTTGTTGGATCGGCTTTTTCACATCTAGGGTTGGGAACGACTGCACATCTGCCGTCTTCCCAAATCACCCCACGCCCCTCCAGGTGCCCAAGCCCCACGATAAGAGTAAAGCCTTGCACGAAAATCTTAAACTCTTCAAACCCCAGTCTACACCCAAGACCCTCTGGCCGCGTTCATCGCCCCCGTAGCCGCTCCACGTGATAAATACCGTAACCCTGAAAAACTACGTGAACGTGGTGTGTCATCTCGCCTGTCTTCTTCTGGGTTGCGGTTCAGGAGGGAGAGAAGCAGAAGCGGTGATCCATGAGGGAGAAAGTGTCGATGATGTGCAGGATGCTGAGGAAGCGGGCATGCATGGTCCTGACTGATGCAATTCGATGAAGGACCCTATTCCCTAAACCCTAAACTGCGTGTTTTCTGAGGTCTTTTGGTTGAGTAGGGCGGGCTTGCCAGGAATCGAAAAGTCCGATGCACTCTAAAGCAAAAAGCCACCGTAACACTACCGCCCAGACCCTTGATCGCCTAAGTGCGGATCCTGAGGGTCAGCAGGGCGATATCTATGCTAAGTTTGAGAAAAATCTCTACATCTGGGCTCTCAAAGCCATGTTACCACGCCGAAGATAGTCATCAACAACTCGAGCATAGTTCATTCATTCGTCTTCCGATCTGTACCCCTTCCAACTTACATTCAATTGAGAGTTGTTTAGCTTGTCGATGTACCGCAAGTTTTTAATTATAGTATTATGGGCCTCAAAACGTCTAGTTGTTAAGGCCCCTATATCAAGATCATTTCGTGCTCCATAGCGCCAATGACAGGACGATGAGACGGTGCCGTGGGAGCTGCAGCCTCACGCTCTAATGCTCAGAGTTGAGGGCTGAATATAGAGGCCTTAATACTTACCTATGCTATTGTGGGACTCCTTATTTTATAATTATAGTATGATGGGCCCCAAATCCCTAGAGGCCTTAATGATTACCTATACTATTGTGGGATTCCTTATTCTAGATATAGTATAGTGGGGCCCAAATAACCGTACTCTAATGATTAAGGCCCCTATATCAGTAGCCTCGGCGAAGTCCACAGGAGTTTTCATCTCATACCTCGCAGCTGAAGACTTTAAGTTACACACGCCACCATCCCAGCTACATAGAACCTGGCCTTCAATAGCAAAGCCCGAATCATTCATTAGTGTTCGCATTCCCTCGGGTTCCGTACTATATTGATGTTGCAACGTACCTTCATGTTCCATTCCATCAAGATAGGCCCCTATCCTGCTTCCAATGATGCCCCACGCAGATTGGACAGGCTTGTTTAGGGTTTAAAGGGTCAGGGCTGGCCACCCGGAGCACCACTGATAATATTGAAGCTTTTGAAAGTGCGTCGGTTCTGTCTGGGTTTGGCATTTTCGTAGGGGCTCGGGTTAAGTTGACGTAAAAATAGTACAGCATAACTCAGCAGGGTTGGTTGAAACGTCGTCCATCAAGCAGGGTATTGCAGTGTGTCAAGCGAATTTCTGTGGGGCATCGTCGCCTGCAGTCCGCATGTGTGACACAGGTTTGGCTTGCAGGAAGGTTGATACAAGCAGTCCAGAAGGCCAGTAGCATCAGCGCCCGCAACCGCTGCAGCGGTAGTGGGAGTCGTAGTCGGTGCCGGCAATAGTACAGTATTCTCTACTGCCAGTGGAACTGCTAGAGATGGTAGGAACGGCAGTAGCTGCTCTACGTAGCAGCGAGGTGGTAGCACCAGCACCACCAGCATGTAGCCAGGTCCGTGCGGGAGCACAGGAATAAATATCCGAATACGTGCGCGAACGTGTAAGGAAGGCCAGCGCGATTTGACACAAACACTCTGAACCTTTGCACCGACGCTGCAGAAGCGAGGGTCAAAGCGAATTGCAGACGGACTAGCCAACATCCAAATGTCGAAGAAAACACAACAAGTTCCAAAGCCAGGGCTCCGAAGCATAAGACGCCCAAAACCTGGCACTTGGTCGCATTCAGGGCTCAGGCTATGTACCCCCGAGGGTCACGAATCTCAAGCCTTCTGAACTCTCCTTAAGGCGAGTGCACCACTTCATCGTGGTGGACAGCGATCGCAGCACGTAGACTGCTCAGTTGCACAATCTCCAACTGTATTGGGGTAAATCCGCCTACCTTTATGACCGGAATGCGATTCCAGGTGTGGTTCTATGTCGCAGTGGTGAAAGTGAGGCGCACGACCGGGATGATGATGAAAGACATGACGGTCAGGATAACTGTAGCATGGCGACGTGGAGAACGACGATGACCATCATGGTCACGATTGGCATATTGCCTACTTCAGGCTCTTTGGCGAAGCCCTCAAACCTTATCTCTGAATCCCCGCATTTAGAGTTTTTCCATCTTTCTCAAATTCAGCCTCCACCTCTTCTCCCTCTGACTGAAGTTTCGAGCGCGGTGCCCAAAAAGACCTTATCCAAAAATGCCCTAAAGCAGCTTTCAAAAACCCTTGTAGGTAGCCTTTTGAAACCCAAACCTTGTAGGTAGCCGTATGAACACCTGAACCTTGTAGGTAGCCGTATAAGCCCCCTAAACCTCGCAAAACCCCCCACTTGCAACGAGGTCACTGAACCCAGAGGAGGTGCGCTGGAGCCCCTGGCCGGAGGGTCCGAGTGGTTTCTGTAGGAGTTTCCGAAAATAGGGGATCCTAACATACTATCCTAAATAGTAGGATCCTTGTTAATGGGAGTTCTGTAGGCTCTCTCATTGGAGTTTTACGGGGTGGTTGTTGGGTTTTTGGTCGGTGGGATGTATGCTTTTTTATCGGGCTCCATAGGTTTGGGGCCCCAATTGCGGAACCACGCGGAACTTGCTTGAAGAAGGGTTTGGGCTTTCGGGGTCGGGTTTAGAGGAGGAACTGCAGTTGGGACCATATCGAAAACAAGCAAGGCGTACTGTGTATGATCGTGTTTGAACCCCTTTCTTACTTACGGCGGTACGTATTTGCTTATACCTGTCCAGGTCCGGCTGCGCCGTCCTGGTTTACATACTTCTTCTGTCATGCATCGCTCATCCAGCCCCTCGAGCTCAATGTACACGTGCATGATTCGGATACTGTAGGGCCTTGAATAACTACTTTGATGGCACGTACATGAACTTAAGAGATGACTTTATACCTCAAACCCGATCCCAACTATCCATAAACCTCAAACTCTCAACCCTCTTAGTTAGTTCTTTGGGGCTTCGGACTGATAATCCTAAACCCTAAACTACGAAAAAGGGGGTTCAAAAAAAAACCTCGTAGTTTGCGCTTTGGAGTTTCGGGCTACATTGATACTCAGGCGCGCTCTTGACCTCCCTTGCCATCTCCAGCATGGCGAAGAAGCAAGTCCTGTCCTTACTTTGGCTTGGGGCTTGTCAAGAAGGCAGTGATAAATGAATGGCAAGAAGTTTGAATGATAATGAGAAGAAGCAGACTGATACTTGTAGGGTTCGTAGTAACGCAGTATTAGCAGCAATACTTCTTGTGATTGATAGGGTTGAGTCTTTAGAGTGTATTTATTGCTGAGGAGCACTGGGATGTCATTACTCGGTTCAGGGCTTGTGGGGGCTCCGGTGATGCTTAAGGCTAATAATTTGAAATGGAAGCCTAGTAAGATTACCAATAGTATCCTCAGGGTTCCTTAATATGCATGATATACTATATGGGTGGTTGTCAAGATTATGGTCCCATTTTGGGTACCCTAAATATTATAATAAGGACCCAACAGGGACCCTAATTTTGACAACCACCCATATTATACCCCAAAACCCTATTCTAAGTAGTCAGGCCCCTACATGATGGTCAGGGTGATAGGG